TTTTAGTGGCTCTGGAAATTTGGCGAAATTTTTCTCGAGCTCGAGATGTCGACTCGGGGGATTTTAGGGTGGCCCACGAGCGAGCCGTTCCCACGCCGTGGCGCATTCGAGGCCGAGGTCGATCCTCGTCGAGGTCCTCTTCTGGCCCCGGTTGTGGGCGGTTATAAGGCCCCGGGGGCCCTTAAGGCCCTAATCACAGGCTCGGGCGCCCTCATTCGCGGAACATATGCGTTATCTTTAAATGCACGCCGTGCTCGCCCTACCTATCGGGCCGCGCGAAGACCGGCTAAAAGCCGAGTACGTAATGCGAGTCCTCTTAAATATCCGCTGTTAAGTCCCTTCTCGAGTCGGTGCTCGAGACCGTGCACCGGCGCCCACACCTGAAAGCCGGCATTGCGCGGGTTCACCTGCCAATTTGCATCCCAGACCCGTGGGAACCCTCGGAAAATTGGATCAACCCTGAAAAACGCGAGGGCGCCGAGAAAAGATCGCCAGCCGAGTTCTCTTGGACCGTTTATCTTTTTCTCGAACCCTCTCCTCTCGTGTAAAAATTGCAGGGGAGAAAAAAATATCCGGCAAAGAATCGGGGTCTTCCGAGCGATGCCCAGGCACGTTTGCATTCCATTAAACGATCCCGCTATTCGGGATTGTCAGGAAACCGCGAGTCGGGCATCGAGCTATTCGCGAATCGTGATCGGCAAGTTGCCGCGCTCGACATGAGCATACGATAAATCCCGGGCCTCGACGTGGAAGGAAAAGCCGCGTCCACTCTCAGGGAAGAGTGGTCCAGGAGTCAAGGGCCCCTGGATGCTGGTCGAGGGAAAAAGAGAGCAGAGTGGTCATGGAAGAATTCTTCCGATGCCGAGAGAGACCGATCGCCTCTCGATCAGTATCTACGTCGATACCAATTTTGACCGAGGCCATTTTTTGATCGAAAGCTCAGGGGAAACTACAGCGGAGCAATCGTGGAAGAATTTTTCCGATCAATCGCCTCTCGATCGGATCGATCACTGCTTTTAATTCGATCCGAACAGCTCGGCTCGTTTTTTATCTGGCGATTTAAATCCATTTTTTGATTCACACCCCCGGGTCCAACAGGGGGTTGGCATCGCGGGTACGGGCAACGGCGACAGAGGGGTGGTTTTATTTCGACTCGGAAAATTGATGGCGTTTTTCGGGGTGATTCCGGTAGACGCGGCCACAGTTTGTTAAGGAACGACGAACTCGATGGGTTTGACGATTTGTTCGAGCAGTGTTGTGGCCATTATGTGGGTTCCGCGAGATTGATGAGGTTCTCCGCCCCCGGAGGGGTGAAATCGAGAGGAAGGATTTCCTACTGGATGTATTTCCCCATTTCTATTTTTTCTTCCTTCAAATCAATGTACCGGCTTTTAGGAAAGTTTTCTAAGGGGGTATTTATTTTTACCCGAACTCCGATTTGAGGGGGTGAATGGTAAATTCGGTCGGCCAAGGGAAATAGCGGAAATCGTCTCTAAGGCAATATCGTTGAATCCGAGTTTCCACGTGAGCGTCCACATTCTCCCGTGGATGTCGCAAGTTCAATAGGATTCTTCCAATCGGAAAGCCTCGATCGATGCCCTCGCGAGGAACCTTCCCCATGCACGAAACTTCTGCTCGCCCGGGGATAAGAGTCGATGGAAATATTTTATTAAGCGGTTGTGCTTTCGGTGACGAAAAATCACGGGGAAATAAATATCGAGAGAGGAGAACTACGAATTTCGTAGCTGCACGTCAAAGATCTCCCGACGTCGTCCCAAAAGCTTACCGAAAAATTTCTTCAAGATTTGGGAAAATTTTGTAAAGCTAGTACGTAATTGGGTTCGATTGAAATCTATTAAAATGAGGATCTCTCTTTAGGTGACTCGTCCGCTCGTTTTACGTCCACTCGGAAACACGGCAAATCCTCTTTTCCTTTGGTCCGCCCTCTGCGGATAAGAGAGTAGCCCCGTGGAGCAATAAAAACACCTGCAATTCCAAATTGATTCCAATTCCTTACGTGCCCGAGTCAATATCGTAGGATCCGAGTCTCATGTGTTCGTCCACATTCCCCGGTAGACGTCGCGAGTTCAATAGGAATTTACCAATCGAAGTGGTCCAATCGATTCCGGATAAAGTTTGCCCCTCACGCGAGGAATCCACCGGTTTCTTATTTATCGTTGCGTTTTCCCCTTCCAAAGGAGCGAATTCTGGAATCGATCGTGCCTCCAACCCGAATTTTGGGCCAGGAGACCCTCCCCGAATAGCCCGTCATCCTGGGTACCAATAAACGTGCCCATCGATTCCCAATTCCCTGCGCGTCCAGGTCGCCTCCAGGACCCAGGTACACGTTCCCTTTTAGCCGTCGGGATTTTGGGTCAGGACCCCCTGCGTACCCTCGCTGAATAGTCCATCATCCCGGGTAGCGATAAAAGTAGCCTCAATTGATTTCCAATTCCGTGCGTGCCTAAGTCAATATCCCAGCGTCCGAGTGTCCGTACCCTCTGGTGGTGCGGACGTCGCGGGTTCAATAGGAATTCGCCAATCGATCGGGGGCCGATCGATGTCTCTGCGCCTCCTCCTTGGCCAAGAAGCAAGAGAGGGAAATACCGAGGCATCGGACGCCCTCGATGGACGCTTTCCGCCCCCCACCTCGGGCGAGGAATTTTTATTGGACCCGCGAATACGCCTTCGCGATTGTGAACGCGGCTTTACCCGGGGCGTCACTTACGGACTGGCGGCGACAATAAGGTTTATCGGGGATCGAACCCGATTAATTAGACTCCGAAGGGGAAGCTCGCGTGCCGAGCGGCCGTCAACGCTACCGGAGCTTGTCGCCGTTCCTTCCGCGACGAAATCGGGCGCGTGTTATTGTTAATTAATGCTCCGCCACTGGCTTGCATACCGCCGACTCGACAAACTCATGAATACGCCCCTGGGATAGGTACAAATTCGCATAAATCCTCGGAAACCAGGCTCCGCGCGAAGGGATGGCCTCCGGGGATTTATCGGGGGATAATCGAACCGGTAATCCCATTGGATTTGAATTTTCGCGGATAAAGGGGCAGCCTTTCGACGCGCTTCGTTTTCTTCCGTCTGTAAAAGGACGATCGACTTTTTCCACTTCTTCTCTTCCCCGATAATAACCATCACAAGGTGGCCGCCCTGAGACCAGTCGTTGATGTTAATTATTTTTCTCAATTTATAGTTTGCGGTAATTAATTTTTTCAAGTTTCTATTTCATCGCGATATCGTCCGTTTTGGTTAAGCTCTTCTTGGATTTATTTGCGGAGGGGGTGTCTAACCGTATTGTTATTTTATCGCGGCGGCAGTTAGAGTTTGTCGTCATTAATGTCACGGGAATGATTTACAGGTCGCGGGCTTAGAAACTAGCGAAACTCGTAAATGCGCCCCTGGAATATTAATGAAAGCGGTCGAGCGTGTCATTGGATTTCCTGCGGACTTAAATCGACACGATCTACCGCAAATTTCGCATAAGTTCTTTCGGTACGTCGATCGTAAATCGACTTCTCGCCCCGATTTATCGAATGACGGGCGAACTGGTTATTTAATATCGGCTCGAATTGATTTCCTAATCCTTTTTCCCGCAAGTCCATCCACTGGAAAAATTGCTCGCCCGAGATCGTCGCTTTGGTGTTTTTTGAATCCGCGGGGGATCAGGTTTTGCGTTTCGAAGAGTTCGCAAAATGTTTCCGATAATTTCAACGCGACAGAATTTAAACGACTCTTATGAAACATGCAGCCACCATTTATGCATTGTCGATAAGCGACGCACCGTGTAATTGCTTTGATATTGAACGAGAAAATACTGACTCCCAAAGTCGGGATGAATGAAAATGTCCCTGCCATAATGACCGTAATCCCTAGATTTTCTCCACAACGACTGCTCCGGATTATTGCGTTTACATTCGGCTTCATGTATTTCCAATTGCGCGCGATGACGTCCCGGTTGTTTGGGCTTTATGAATGGATGAAATATTAAAAATGGGCGAAATGATGCCGAATCTCCGGGCGAGAATTCCGACGAGCCGACTACCTCGCTTCCACTCGCAAAAAACCGATTTCTAAGAGACTTCGTATCTCGATAATTTTTTTTTTCAAAGTTTTGCCGAACGTATCGCTGCCTTCTTTAATTTCTGATATTTTTCTTCAAATTTAATCAGGAATTTTTGCCTCCAGTCGTTTTCCTTCGCGAACACATGTACACGTTCACCTCAATCGGTTCGTTAAAAATCCGAAATGAAGGTACTTTCCCTCCCGTGTTTCAGGAGGATCCATTGACGACAAGGATGATCACGTTTTACTAAAACATCGACACCTGTAATCGATACATCTGGAGGATCCGCGAAACCGCAGGTTCTCGGATGACGAGAGCCTCGTCCCAGAAGACGACCCTGAGAATCCCAGGCGGGATCGCCGCGTGATCCAGGGTCCGCCTCAAATCGAGAACATCATCTCGGACAATGTTGAAACTTCCGGGGACGTTTCCTCGCTCCAGTTTCGAAACAAGGGCGCGAAGTCCCGCGCCGCCGTCGAGGGAGTCCTTTCCTTAGCGTTTTACCTCGTCGAAGTTTCTCGCGAAGAAGACGAGTCGAGAAATCCCGCAGCTGGCTCTCGTCAAGCTGGACCAGTTGCCTTGTCTATACCTCGGATCTCGGGCGCCATCTCGTAGCTGGAAGCTGTTGACTCGAGTTAATGGAGCGGTCTTCGGAAGGAGGAGCTCCGGTCACGACCGAGTCCTGTCCGATGGGAACGGCTGAGAAAGGATTCGAGCGATCTTCGATTCCTCGATCGGGGACAAGGTGGTTTGGATTCATCTAGCGAGGTCCTGACCGTCAAGGAGCCTCGGTGGTACTATGTGCTGTAGCGCGATTCCGTCGACCGGAAGTCGCCGCGCCGCCAACGGAGGTTGGATCAAAAGGAAGCGCGTGGATCGTCCGGAAGAGCCGAGGTCCTTGAAGAGAAAGCGTCCCTCGAGGACCATGGGGATGCTGCTGCCGGACGAGACCTACGAGGAGCGCTCGTCCTCCTCGGCGAGGAGTTCCTGCCAGGACGAGGGAGCCGTCGACGAGGTCGCTGCCGCGAAGGCCCTCGCGGCCTTCCGCAAGTGCGACGAGTTCCTGGCGAGGCACGGCATCAGACCCGAGTTCTTCTGCAGACACCGGGAACGACTCGCCCTGCAGACCTGGCTCCTGCAGAGATCCTCCTCCAAGTACAGCTCGGGCACAGGTGAGTACCGCTTCCTATTATTACCCCGACCGCGCTTGGCTGCGCTCCGGAAAATCCCGCTTCGTCCGCCGTCCTCGTCGGCCACCGAGCTTCTTCGCCGAGGAAAGAAGTCCATCGAATTACCGGTTGCAGCCAGGTAGATAGCGGGCAAAAGTATCTCCGGTTGCATAGGCGATCGGCTCGATCGGGAACTAAGTGCCCAGCTGAAGATGCGAACCGTGTCCCGCGAGTCGCTCTCATCGGAAGGCGAGAGAGCTCCTCTAAAGATCGGAAAGGACCCTGCGCTATCTCGAGACCCGGGAAGGCGCCAGGAGTGTTCTCCTCGAGAGAATCCTTTGATCCTAGAGATACCCCTTCGGAGATCGGCGTTAAATTTGGGGGTTCCATTTTCTCGATCCTTGCCTTTCGGTGGACACCCGGTAGACGTCGGCGGGGCGTTCCACCTTTGCCGAACGATTCCGATAATCCGCGGCTTCTCGTCAGGGGAATGTACGGGGTGTCCGGGTAGATCGGGCCGGGGAGAGGTGACCGGCTCGAAAAGGCGAGTACCCCAGAGATCGGCGGCACAATGGCCGGCCGGGCATAAATATAGGTGGCCGGGTACGTAGAGACGTCGGTACTCTCGGTACCGGATGCTAGTATCGGTCCTGGCCATCGTCGGCAGGCCAGGCGCAGGGATCGAGGCACCGAGATCGGGAGATCGGGGAATCGGGGGGCTTTTTGTCCGATGGCCTTGCATCCAGCAAATGGACAACGGGGGTGATCGGCCAATCGCCGGCCAATGACGGGGTTGGACGATCGATGGGCCCTCCACCGAAGGGACTTATCTCCGGCCAATGGGCACGGTGATCGATGGCGAGGCAATGGTCTCCTTAAGGCGATATCGATAAAATGGAATTTCCCTCCGATATACCGGACTTCCCTTGAATGCTCGCCAGTCCCCTGCCAAAATTTCAGTCAGCTCGGTGGAGCATCCTTCGACAGAAATGTGAAATTCGGGTGGGTCGCTAGAAGAGGGGTTTCGCGTCGCCTTAAATGGCGCTCCCTGGGAATTCCGGTCATTTTCCAAAGGATCCGCGATTCGAGTCGAGCCGAGGATGGCTCCTTAAAAAATTGGCGGCCATCGGCCCATGGATGGATGGATGGGTCGGAAGGGTTTCCATGGAGCGGCCATCGATACTCGGATAATGGGCATTGGGATGATCGTCGGTAATGAACCCGGAGATCGGAGATCCCGGTATCGGGCTCCTTTGTCGCGTGTACTCCCAGCGACCAATTGGCAATGGGAACGATTGCCAATTCGTTAGTTAGGTCTATAATGGAGAGGAGAGATCGGGAGATAGAGGAATCGCGGGATCGCGGGGCTCTTTACCGGATGGCCCCTGTGCAACGAGCAGCGAGAATTGCGCGCGGTTTCGCCGATAATAAAGTACGAGAGATCAAAGGATATCTAACGAGGGCCTCTTTTTTATCGGGGGGCCTCTTGTTATCGGGTCCCGCCGATAGGAAGAGGCGCGATAAATATTCATGCGAGATTAGGAGGGGGTCCTTCGACCAGGAGGTGTCCGCCATTTGCATGATCCTTGAGTGCCGGACGCCTGCTTACCCTTGGAAAATGGAGATCCGAGGAGAATCTGCCTTAATTTCGCGGTGTCCCCGACCCGGTCCGACTCGATTTGTCTCGAATCGTCCAAAGAGGAACGATGGCTCATCGAGTTCTCTCCTGGTGGGAATTTGCGTCTACCGGTGCAGGTATCTCCCATCATAATAAATCAAGGTCCAACCTAATTAACCAACGGTAGGCGCCATAATAGAGGCTTCATTACCGCCGAGTCGTTACTAATTACGGGAATCACCGGACTGGACGTAAGTTAACGGGGAAATTTCTGACCCCCGGCTGGGAAATTCGCCCAAACTCCATGGTCCATGGTTTATGGGCCCGCGATCGCCGATTGCGTGACAACCAGCGGGTGACCCGGTGCACGAGAAGCGCAGAAATGCATTTCGCCTTCCCGGAATCCCTTTGCCGGAGTGCTGCTTTATGCACTCGTGCGACGCGCCCGCGACTCCTTTAAAGGGCCCTTAACGGATTCTTAAGGACTCCGAGCGCCATGAAAGGGTCCTTTCCTCGAACTCTTCCCCGCCAGAGGAAAAGGAATTTCTAGTTCCTCGGAATTTTGCGAAACTTCTCCCAACGGTTACCCGGTCGGCTCCGATTCGATATATCTGATATGGGATCCAAAATAGCGGATCCATCGATTTTTTTAGCTTTCCCTTAATTTTTCTATTTCTCTATTTTTTTCTCATTTACTCGGTTGCCATGTTCTCCGTGGTTTCCGAGGGTGCCGAAAATTCCGTGATCCTTCTTCGAGCGGTGGATTTTTTTTTTTAGTTTTTAGAGCCACAGGGAAGGCGGCAGGAACGGGGCACGACGCATCCTTTCGTTTTTAAGGGTTATTAAGGTTATCTTCTTGATGGACGATTGCGACTTAAGGACCGAGAGGGGCAAGCAAAGGTACCCACAGGGCGTGTATTAAGTAACGAGGTTTATTGGGACCGGGTGTGGGCTTAAATGTACTCTCGAGGCGCTGATGACTGCCTGATCAGGGCCTTGTTAATTGGCTAAATCAAGGCCTGTCGTGCGAAACCTTGTGCCCCCGATGAAGTATGTACGAGGCCCGCCTAATCAATTCCTCGCGTTTGCTCGATACCTTCGATTCTCCAACCCTGTCGGCTCTTCGGTTTAAATTGATATCGAACTGCCTCGTCGATCCGCTTCTTTGATCCGCACCCTTTCCTTGACGTAAAAATTAATTTTTTCCCCTACCCCCTTGCGCGTCCCAATTTTAATACGCTCGTTTCGTTCTTCCCTTAAAATCTTCCCGATTCTTCGGGGACGATTTCTCCTTCGGTTCGATTTTTAGGAATTTCCAGGGCACTCGTCGATTCGTTCGCGGCCGATTGGCCATGCCAATAAATGCACCGGCATGCAGTGGGACACGACTGGGTACATGCCGTACACGCAACACGCGTGGTACACGCGATACACCTAGGGTCGACCCCGGCTGACCCCTCGGCGGCTCCCAGGGTGTCGACGGGCAGGGAGGGGGCGAAATTTTCTTGAAATTTATTAGCCGCTGGGAAATCGACTGGGACTCGTAATGACCGAGGCATTACTAATGGGGCGCGAGGCAAAAAGGGCGGAACTGGCTGCCAACGTTGCAAAACGAACAAAACGCCGTCAGGTGTTGCTCCCATAAATCACCGTTCCCTTCTCGCGAGCCCGCTCGGCTCGTCTCGGCGCGGCTCGGACTCGATGCGTGCAATCGGCGCGTCCGACGTCACGTTTTATTCGCGCCTTGTCGATTGATAAATAATACATATATCGAGAGGCTCCGGAGTCCGATCGGCAGGTCCAGGTCCCTCGATCTCGACGATCTCGATGACAGACTTCCGGGGAAGAATTTTTTTTTCTCAACATTTCGACCGTCACGTTTTGAATTTTATTTATCAGGAATTTACTTAGCTTCCGTGGGAAATATCTTCCGAGGTAATTTGTCAGGATTTCGCGGTGGAGCATTTATCCGAAGATTTAGCCTCTCCGAGTCCATGCGTGGAATCGGCGAGTTCTGACATTTTGCTCCGCGCTCACGGCGCATCGAGTGATAAATAAAACATTTACAAGGGAATCGTAGGAATCTATTTTCACGGCGAGACCGCGTCGATCTCTGGGGAATCTCCCCAGAATCGTTTCCGTGTACAACCGCTCGGGGGACGATTTAGCTGTCGGATCGACGTTCCATTAATGTTCGCACTGTATTCGCGGTAGAATCGCAAATGCGAATAAATTTAGTCTAAGACCTGTCTGCGGAGATATCCGTCCCTCCCCGAGCCAAGATTCAAGCCCGATGACGAACAATTGGCTCGTAAATTCCTAAAAAAAAAATTCCTTTCAATTATATACAATCCCGATCCTTCGGTCAGATTCGTTTTTCGCAATTTTTTCCACCATTTTCAAACGCGTTTTATCACGCGAGATCGAAGAGGTGCAGATTCACGCGTAATTCCCGGGGACGCGAATGCACGAGTGCATCCCTACGTGCAAGTACTCCATTTCGAAGGCACGTCGCACTCACGACGTGTCGATTGATAAATAAAACCTTTACGGTGGAAAAAAAATCACAGAACGTGGAGTTTCTACTTTTTATGTAGGTACGTATTTATATCTCTTTTTTTTTTTTTCACCGTGCTTTCATCCATGGATGACTGCATGCGCGAGTGCATCGGCGCGTGCAAGCGGGACATTATCGGATCGTATTTGTAGCCCCGCCGTGTCGATTGGTAAATACAAATTTCCTGGGGGAACAGTACAAACTTGTTCTCACGTCGGGAATAAGTCAGGGCCCCACCGCGAGGAAACCTCTCTTGAATCGTTTCTATGTAAAACCGTTCGAGGGCAATTTAGCTGTCAGATCGTCCTCGATAAATTTTCAGTCCGCCATCGCGAGTGAAAACTCACTGATATCGGAGTTCCCTTTTGCCCAAATAGTATCGCGTATCGTGTGCAAATCGCGATATTCAGTCGCATATAAATTCGTACCCATTTTCCGCGTTTCTTAATAAAGTCCCCCGTTGGGATGAAAAAAATCGGAAATCGTTCGCTTATCACTTGGCTTCACCGAGATCGGAGTTTCCGTCGATATCGATACCGCTGTTCTCGATTTCCAGCCAACCCATCTCAGTCCGGAGGCGAAGCGATCGGTCAATCGACCGGCTAAGAGAATTATCTGGTTTTTCCTCGGAGATCTCGTTTTCCACTCGATCTTCCCTCCTCCTCCCTCTCTAATCGATTGTCCCATCGCGTGAGACGTGCTTCCCGAGAGTTTGGCACCGCATTAATTACTCAACTGCCGTAACAATGGCGCAATAATTAACAATTACACAGTTTGATAATTATAGCTCATCGCTGAGTTATCGCCGGGCGTAGTCTGTGC